CTTCCTAAGTTGCATTTCTGCTTTGATCACATCGGTTTAGCTGTGGACACGAATGAAATTATTTCTGCTACTGATTACCCACTTTCACTAAACTGATTAAAACGGCGGAAAATGCTTCATGATATTATCCAAAGCATTAGAGGCGTTTTCTCGCCTTTGAATTTTATGTCTTAGAGGTGTCTTTTCCAATGATATGTGAGGTTTAAACATTGCTTGATGGAAGTCCGCACTTCTCCTAGTAACGATGCAAAGTCTGCCAGCTTTTTCCAAACGTAATAGATGCTGAATCCTGCTCTGCTGCTTTGATTTTGTTAATTTGCGGGTTAGTGTCTCAGCTATATTGCTTTATTATTTTATCTGCTCAAATAATCTGCAAAAGCTACCTGAAAAATTGTTCGCTACTCATTTCTCTTGTTTTTCAGATCGAGGAATTCTACAAACAGAAGCATCAAGGACGCCAACTGATTTGGCAGTACCATCTATCCCACGGTATTATAGCCTATTATCCACCTATAGCGACTACTACCTCCGCCCAACCGACCACCTCCATGACCGATGCAGCTCCACCGACATCCCAGGTGGAACTGGAGATGACTACTCTCCAGATCGTCGTGCTGTTCGCTTGGAGATATCGCGATATTGACCAGCGACTACGTCTTGACGGTCTTCTCACTGCCACGGGTCTATCGGACCTGGAGTTACGCCGAACTCTATGGGTATAGAGAGAGGAGATAACCATGGCCACCGTTATGGTTACTAGTGTTTGTCAGGATTAAAGTACTTAGTGGAGGCATTATCAGTCTTTTAAATTGGTTTATTTGCGCTTATCAGTTTAAGCTACCCCTGAAACTTTGGATGGAAATTCAAAACAGGTATCATATTCCCAATGTAAAAAAGATATCCATTCAGAGATCAAAGCAACACTAATTTATGTTTGTGTTTCAGTCTCTCTCCGAACGTCCCAAAATGGAGCAGCAGATTATTCTTTACTCCCCAGAAGCAACCTCGGAAAAGGATTTCACTAATGAGACAGAATTTTGGATTAATCCAGCTTTTGGAGTTGCGTAAGTTTAAGAAAAATTTATTGCTATCGTCTGAATACGGATGTCTATTTTCTTATAAAACTGGTTTAAATCTGAACCTGAATGAATTTGTGTATGCCAACTTTTAAGTGCTCGTATTTTGCGTTGGATTAACATATTAAGGGTGTTCAACGGCCGAGTGATTGGGGGTTATTTGGCTTTCCCAACTTATGTTTATTCTCTGAATATTTTTCTTTTCTTTAAGACTTAAATCTCGCTAAGCCAATTTTTGTTGTAACTTCGTCATAGGATTGATTAGTTACATTTGATTTTCCTTGAACAGTTAGCCCTAAGAATGCTGGATTCCTCCCTTCTTTATGAAGTCGATTCGCATCGAACGCTGCGAAAAGTTGTGGATAATTTTTGTATGTAAGCTGGTATGGCATTGGAGTTGGTTTCTTCTTTGTCATCATTAGTCTCTTAAGGTGATGGTTCCATCGTAAGATCACGGCTTTAAACTATTCCCAAGTGGCCACTTTTGGTGTTTTTTTCTTTAACTATACAAATGTTCTGAAATTGTCCACTCTCAAGACCAAAGCAAACTCGTACCATTGAAAAACAGCCCTGAAGGGCACCCATTTGATTAGAAACTGCAGGCAATGCAATTGATTATAGGCAGCTTGCCACATGCACTTCATCATGCACAGTGCGTCCATATAAACATTCTCATTGGCTTCACCAAAGCCCATATGTTGTAGCAAGCTATTGCGATCTCATTTGCCTTCAATCTAACCGAGAATTTATGCAAAGCAGGACAGGAATGTTATATTGTACTTCGTTTTCGGCATGCATTGGTTCAGTAGGTAGTGCATTTATTGGTCAAGGGAGTCTTAGCAGTTCTCAATCCCAGAGAACGATTCAGTGCTGTTACGTTCATCTCGCCTCGCTGTTGACCTCATTTCCGCAAATTTCACTGCACCTCCCGCCGAATGGGTCAGTTTTGGCCTAGGCAATGAAGAGGTCAGAATTGATGTGCTTAAAAAGTTTTAAAAGATTTTTTCTACAGCTGCACAGGTCGTCCAACCCCTCTATCGAAGGTAGAACTGGATGTCGCGCTTGTTTATCGTTACATCTAACATTATCTTGGAGTAAATAAGATTAAGAATTGCTTTCAAAATCGTGAAATATTATATCAATATTTTTACTGGAAAGTAATAAGTAGCATCGATATTGTTTACATTAAGTCGTTCTGGTCGTCCACCCAACCGTCGACGCGTAAACATGATTGGTCGACTACAGTTGACCCAGGCGGGCTGTGAGGAAGAAAGCCTAGCCATCGTGCAACTACGTCAAATGCGTGCCCAAGAGGCCGTGGTGAGGGTGATGAAGAGTCGCAAGCGTCTCACCTTCTCCGAGGTCTATCAGCAGGTCATTGGTCTGCTAAAGGACCAGTTCATTCCCTCGAAACGTATGTTGAAGGAAGTTATTGAATGGCTAATTGAGCGCCGTTACATCGAACGTGACTCACATGAACTTGATACCTTTGTCTACGTCTCCTGATTTTCTTTCCTTTCTCCTCAAGTCCTACGCCCATTTGATTTTTGAGGTGCGTGTTTCAATGGGGTTTTGTTTGATCGCCATTCTTTTTCCCTTCTTTTTACGCAACTATGGGAATCAAGTGGTGGTGAATAAAACGCTTTTTGAAATATCATGGCTTTTTGAGTTCCTCCTAATGACGGAAGTTGTCAGACAGCGAAATTTTTTCACTTTTTTTCGTGTCGCATTTATGCTCGACATTTCAATTCGGAGACCTCGTGGATAGGGCTTTATAGTGATGTTTATCCTTTTGTTTATATCGGAAAACTTTGGTGTGCTCCTACTGACTGATTGTCAGTGGAGCCGATCCTAGAAGTTTGAGATGATGAAGTGTGAATGGTTATTGACAATAATATACCATTAGGAACTTTAAGAACTTCTTCAGCGAGTAGAACCGCGAAACGTAGGTGCGTTGTCAATTCGGGGAAACAATAAGTTTTTTGCATAATATCATTTGCGACAGGTTAGTGCTATTAGTAGTAGTTTACCAAAAGTTTGTACTTGTAGGAGTGAAAGTTCCGCTCTTAGTGAAGGTCTGCAAAGTTGTGTAGGTGCAGAATAGGTTTATGCATTACCTTTGCAAAAAAATTCGGTCAAAATGCCACGCTTTATAAAATAAGCTTAAATTTCCCTTCTAGGTGCATGTACATGATCATTGGCCTAGTTCTTTTGCCCTAAGTAGCTGAGGAATGGTCATTAAGGAATCCCTTTTATGGCCAAAAGAAATAAATCTAATTAAATGGAAACAGACTTGCATCATTTAACACTAGTGCGGTGTTCTGAGTCTTCTCTGGCGTCTTATATGATCCAAATAGTACAGCAGGAAACATTGCTAATGGTATAGCGTGTAGGACACTGGAAGGCTACTGTCGTGGCTTGAAAATCACGCTGCGAAGCAAAGTGCGGCTCGCATACTCAAACTTGTTATCAATACACTGAAACGAAGAAATTAACGGTAGTCTGGTAGGGCAGCTTGGCGTTATTTAGTCATTGGTAGATTCCCCAAAATTCGCTTTACCAATCTTGTGACGCCAAAGCTCTTCAATCTAGGCGGTAATGGTGATTATGTGAGCTGTTTCTGAAAAGAACACACAATCTCTGGCTAGATCAGCACTTAAACAGAATGAGAAACCTATAAAAGCATTCAGGTTCGAGGTTAGAGTTGTTGGAACTCAGTAGCATCGCATCCCATTGCCCATATTTGTGAATGCAGGTGACGTGATCAGCCATTTGCTTCAGCCATTTTACCTCTACAAAAATTGATTATGCAAGTCAACATCTGTTTGTGTTTGCACTTACTGTCTTTCTCCAAA